AGCGGGGCCCGGGCGGAGTGCGGCCGGGGCGGGGCGAGCCCGCGGTCAGCCTGGCTCCCGCTGAAGCGGACCACGCCCCGATGCTACTTCCAGATTCTCTGCAAACAGCTCACAGCGCCGCAAGACAAACTCGAAAGTGTGTCATTTTACGACTTACCGTACACTTTAACTCACCGAAATAGGATTCATTTAATTTATCTTGTAGCGAGCGCTTACTAAGCGCCTACTGTGCGCACTTTTCAGGTTTTGGGGTGTTTTTTTTAGGTCTACTGTTTCTGCACTGTGGAAATATTGTATAATGTGCTATTGCTCGGTTCTTCCTATCCTTTCATTCAGTGACATCCTTTGGTAATCTGAAATCCGCCACAGTGGGAGTATTTACACGACACAAATCTGCAAGCGTGTGATTATTGTTAAATTGTCTGGACTTTAGAGAGTGGGGGGGGGATAGAAAAATGTCAATAATGCAGATTGAATTTAAAAGTGGGTCAGCGCTGTAGCAGTTGCATTGCAAATAGCATCAAAAACTTGAACTATTCTTCTAGTATTGGAAAACGATTATCTGATTCAGCAAAGAAGTGGCTCGTGTCATTGACGAACTAGTGAAGTCGTGACATATTTCTTTTGTTTCATTTTCCTCTCATAAAAGAAAATAACATTCATGTTAGAACTACACTCTTTGGTCGATTGCAACCACGGACGGGGAGGCTATACAATAGCAAAGAAAGCACTGTGTGAGTACTGCCTGTGTGGAAAATACAGTAAAGTATAGTATACAGATTATTTGTAAATTGCATGCTATACAGCATTTGTAGAAGCAAAAGCAATAATATACATATATACATGTACATGGGACTTTGTAATTTGTGTTACCTAGTGCAAAATGAAAATGCGGGGTTCTGGGCTAGCAGGTGGTGCCGTGTTGGGGAGCTGGACTCCCACATGTCGACCACCCTTCAAGTCCTCAGACCTGGTAAAACTTGCTTTCTCACTTTCTCTCTGTTGAACACGTGTGCCCTATAGCAAAATTTAAAAATAATAATAACAAAATTGGCATGGCGGTTAACACTGGACTCCCACATGGCTGACCCCCATTAGAGTCCCAGACCTAGCAGCTTATTTTCTCACTTTCTCTCTCTTGATCTCAAGCCTTCTCTGTCCCTCTCTGGTCAAATTAAAATAAGTAAATAAATAATTTAAATAAAACAATTCTTTTAAAAATTTTAAATAATTATTTTTTTAAATGTGAAGTCCTTTGGAAATCATTAAGAATATAGGGACCAAAAAATAAGAAAAAAGAAAAAGAATATAGTGACCAGCAGATGGCATATTGGTTATGTCACTGGACCCCCACATGGCTGACCGAGATTCAAGTCCTGGACCCAGACCCAGAGGCTTGAAACACACGCCGGGCACATGTGCATGCGTGCCCAAAATCCCAAGAGAAGACTGGAGGAGAAAGGATTGCAAAGTGACCATTCCCTCCAGGGAATGAGATCTCTACAAGAAAGAGAGAGAGAGAAATCATTAAGAATATCTGATCCCGGGGCCAGCAGGTGGCATGGTGGTTAAGGACGCTGGACTCCCACATGACTGACCGAGGTTCAAGTCCCAGACCTGGCGGCTTGCTTTCTCACTCTCGCTCACTCTGTCTCTCCCTGGTCAAATTAAAATAAATAAAGTTAAATAAAATAATTCTTTTTAAAAAAAAAGTTTAAAAAAATAAAAGAATATCTGATCCCATGACAGTGGCACACTTGCAGAACACCCAGGTTCAGTTCTGGGTCCATCCTAAATGCCTATGAAGTGGCATGCCCCTCTCATCCCAGATGCTAGGGAGGTTGAGGCAAGAGATCGTGACAGTGAGACCCTGTATTAAAAAAAAAAGAATAATTAAGAATTTCAAAGCTAAGCGCTTCAACCTCACAGATTTCACAGCCACGATACCATTTGTGTGTGTGTGTATGTGTGAGTGCGTGCGTGTACTTTTCCCCTCCCTACTACCTTTCCCCCTGGCTGTTCGTTAAACATTTACAATTTCAGTGCTCAGCACAAGCTTGTGATGCTGGCCAAACCCGAGGTCCTATGATGCCAAGTCAGACAATATATCAGAGATATATTAAAATCTTGGTCTGTCACTTACCATCTCGATGACCCAATCCCTCTGCCTCAGTTTACTCATAAATAAGGTGGGAACGATACAATCTGCCTTTAGAATTGTTTGGGAAAAACATGTGTTATATGCTGCTTAGGTACTTTACATGTATTCTTGTTTAACTCTCATAACAATGCCTACCGACGTAGGTACTATAACCCTCCCTATTTTACACATAAAGAAATAGGTACATGAGTGTAAGAGCCTAGTTTCAGACTCGGTTTGACTCCAAGCTGCTTTTGTGTGTGTGTGTGTGTGTGTGTGTGTGTGTGGAGAGGTTTTGTTTGTTTTTTTGTTTGTTTGTTTTTTTGTTTGTTTGTTTGTTTGTTTTTTTTTGCTATAGGGCTCGTGAGCTCACCAGAAAGAGAGAGAGAGACAGAGAGAGAGGGAAACGAGAAATCACCCCCAAGGGGGAATGGCCATGCTGCAGTCACTTCTCCTCCATTCTCCTCTCGGGATCTTAGGCACATATGCACACACACCTGGTGTGAGTTTAAGCCACTGGATCTGGGACTCGAACCGCAGTTGACTATATGGGAGTCCAGTGACGTAGCCATTACGCCAACTGCTGGTCCCCCAAGCTGCTTTTAACCACTACTCTCTAATGTCTAACTAAATCTATGATATATTGAAAATGCTCATTGTTATTTTAATATACTATAGGGTGCATGTGCACTCTGGAGACAATGAGAGAGAGAAAGTGATAAATCGTCTCCTGGGGCCATGGCCACTTGGCATCTCTTCTCCATTCTCCTCTTGGGGTTCTGAGCATGCACACACACAAGCCCAGAATGATTTTCAAGATGCCAGGTTCAGGACTCAAACTACAAAGTCAGCCGTGTGGAACCCAGTCACCTTAACTGCCACACCACCTGCTGGCCCAACGCAATAATATTATTTTAAGGGGCCAACAGGTGGCATGGTGGTAAAGTGCTGGACTCCCACGTGACTGACCGTAGTTCAAGCCCCAGATCTGGTGGCTTGCATTCTCACTTTCTCCCTCTCTATATACCTCTCTAGTCGAATGAAATAATAATAAGTTATTATTTTACCTTTAAATTTAAGTTGACCAGAGAAGGGCAGAGAGAGAGGGAAAGTGAGAAAGCAAGTCACCAGGTCCAAGATTTGAACCACAGTTGGCCATGTGGGAATCCAGCATCCCCAATCTCCACACTACCTGCTAGCCCCAATAAATAATTATTTTTAAAAACAATAATGATAACATTTTTTTGGGGGGGGAGGGTGCGTGCATTTTCCAGACAGCCAGAGAGAGAGACAGAGAGACAGAAAACGAGAAATCACCCCCTGGGGGGATGACCACACCACAATCCCTTCTCCTCCATTCTCCTGTTGGGATCTTGGGCACGCACGCACACACGCCCAGCATGAGTTTAAGCCACCGGGTCCAGGATTCGAACCGCGGTCGACTGCATGGGAGTCCAACAACATAGCCATTACACTAATTGCTAGTCCCATGATAACATTTTTTTGAGAGATTTTTGCTATAGGAAGCATGCACTCGCCAGAGAAACAGAGAGAGGCAGAGAGATAGAAAGTGAGAAATCACCCCGCTGGGGGAATGGCCATGCCACAATCCCTCCTCCTTCATTCTCCTCTGGAGATTTTGGGCACACATATACCCAGCATAATTTTTAAGCCACTGGTCTGGACTTGAACTGCAAGTGGCCATGTGGGAGTTCAGCTTCTTAACCACCATGCCATGCCACATGCTGGTCCCCTATCTTTGCTTATTAAAAGAAAACATGGGGCCAGTAGATGGTGTGATGGTTAAGGCATCTGGATCCCACATGGCTGACTGCATGGTTTGAGTCCTGGACCCAATGGCTTGAAAAAACATGCTGGGCACTGTGTGTGCATGCCTAAAATCCTGGAAGAAAAGGGACTGCAGCGTGGCCATCCTGCTTTTGCTGTGTGTGTGTGGGTGGGGGGGTGCTTTCTCTTGCTCTCTTTGACAACTATATGTGCCCTATGGCAAACATTTTAAATGAGACAAAATCAAAAACAAAAAGCAATCTAATTATATTTTAGGGTAGCAAAAAATCTCATATATTGCTAGTGGGAGTGAAAACTAGTATCTTCCTTGAGGCCAGCAGGTGGTAAGATGATTAAGACTCTGGACTCTCACTTGGTCAATCCTGGTTCGAGTCCCAAACCTGGCAGGTTGAAAATCATGCCAGGCATGTGTGTGTGTGTATGTGGACCTAAAATCCCAGTAGGAGAATGGTATGTCCATCCCCCTGGGAGGGAGGTGATTTCTCATTTTTCCTCTCAGTGTCTCTCTCTGTCTCTCTCCAGCAAGCACATGTACCCTATGACAAAAATCTTAAAAAGAAAAAAAAAAAAGAAAAAAAAGGAGGAAAGAAAAGAAAATTGGTACCTCCTTTAGAGAAATCAATGTGACACCATCCATCAAAACTACATATGCATTTACCTTCTGTCTCCATAATCCCATTTCAGGGAATTTATCTTGGTAGAGCTGCCAGGGAATAAAATGATGTACTATGTACAAAGGCATTCATTGCAGCATTTGTAATAGCAAAAATCTGGAAACCACACAAGTGTCCATCAACAGATGACTGGGAACATAAATTATGTTGCAACCATATGATGGAATACAGTGAGGCTCTAACAATAGCAGAAGAACAAAGAAGCTTTGTTCTATTTACT